AAAAAAGAATGAAATTTGAAATATGAATGCCCTTGTCTAAAATTCTTTATCGTCATCTCAAAATGGGCGTTGATACAACGGGCAAGGTATGAGCTGCGATTTCGCTCCATTAGGCTTTTTGGCCAAGGAAATTAGAGCAGATAAGATCGAGTGTCAATGGCGATGCCAGTTATAGCCCCCCCCCCCCCCTCCCCCCCCCCGCGGGGGGGGGGGGATGATGTCCAAAACTTCAATCTCCTTTTAACTGAGCCTCGCTTGGTCGGCCGTCGCGGTTGACCGCTGCGGTCAACCGCCAAACCATGTAGTCGATTTTATGTTTCTGTCTTTCTGGTCGGTCGACCGCGACGATTTCGGCAGTCGACCACCAGTCGGGTCTGAGTCAGGTTTTGTTTTCTGACCTGTTTTTGTTTTGTGTTGATATATAATCCTAAACACGTTTTAGGGTTTTGTGGAAGAGCAGTATTGGGGATATTTAGAGCACAGAAAAGAGTCTTTTCTGGAGCTATTGGTTAGGGTTTTGTTTGAGAGATTGAGAGCTTTGTGTGAGAGATTAGTTTGTGGATTTGCAATCTCTATTTATATTCTTCTTCTCTATTAGTGAAAACTCATCCTCTTCTTGCCCCGTGGACATATGCAACTTGCCTTCCCACATTCTTGGAGCAATCCTTTCTCGTAACACTATGACCAAATGCTACGTTACAATAGTAAACGGCTATAACTGGCATCGCCATTGCATCGATCTATCTGCTCTATTTTCCATTGGGCAAAAGCAATGGAGCGAAATCGCAGCTCATCCTTGCCCGTTGTATCATCGCCCATTTTGAGATGACGATAAAGAAGTTTAGACAAGGGCATCATATTCTCAATTTCATTTCTTTCCTCACAGTACCCATATAACATTATTTGACGCCATGGGTGTTAGAAGAACAGTAATTTTGGAAGCAGGCAACTGTTTTGGTGACGTTCGGTCGACCGCGAGGCTAGGCTGGTCGACCGAAAACATGCACAGCTCAGGAATTGATTCTGTACTTGATGTGGTTGACCGCCGCGGTTGACCGTGATGGGTTCTGCGGTCAACCGCCAAACCCTGTAGTCGATTTTATGTTTGTCTTTCTGGTCGATCGACCGCGACGATTTCGGCAGTCGACTGCCAGTCGGGTCTGAGTCAGGTTTTGTTTTCTGACCTGTTTTTGTTTTGTGTCGATATATAATCCTAAACACGTTTTAGGGTTTTGTGAAAGAGCAGTATTGGGGATATTTGGAGCACACAAAAGAGTCTTTTCTGGAGCTATTGGTTAGGGTTTTGTTTGAGAGATTGAGAGCTTTGTGTGAGAGATTAGTTTGTGGATTTGCAATCTCTATTTATATTCTTCTTCTCTATTAGTGAAAACTCATCCTCTTCTTGCCCCGTGGACATATGCAACTTGCCTTCCCACATTCTTGGAGCAATCCTTTCTCGTAACACTATGACCAAATGCTACGTTACAATAGTAAACGGCTATAACTGGCATCGCCATTGCATCGATCTAACTGCTCTATTTTCCATTGGGCAAAAGCAATGGAGCGAAATCGCAACTCATCCTTGCCCGTTGTATCATCGCCCATTTTGAGATGACGATAAAGAAGTTTAGACAAGGGCATCATATTCTCAATGTCATTTCTTTCCTCACAGTACCCATATAACATTATTTGACGCCATGGGTGTTAGAAGAATAGTAATTTTGGAAGCAGGCAACTGTTTTGGTGATGTTTGATCGACCGCGAGGCTAGGCCGGTCGATCGAAAACGTGCACAGCTCAGGAATTGATTTTGGACTTGATGTGGTCGGGTCGGCCGTCGCGGTTGACCGCTGCGGTCAACCGCCAAACCATGTAGTCGATTTTATGTTTCTGTCTTTCTGGTCGGTCGACCGCGACGATTTCGGCAGTCGACCACCAGTCGGGTCTGAGTCAGGTTTTGTTTTCTGACCTGTTTTTGTTTTGTGTTGATATATAATCCTAAACACGTTTTAGGGTTTTGTGGAAGAGCAGTATTGGGGATATTTAGAGCACAGAAAAGAGTCTTTTCTGGAGCTATTGGTTAGGGTTTTGTTTGAGAGATTGAGATCATCCTATTGACGAGGATTGATAAGTGGATTGTCAGAGGTTTGATGTTAACATGACAAATTAGGAGTGATGCAGGCTGCATTCATGCCCTGTGGGGGTGATGATCGTCCGAAGCATAATGTTAACTTGACGATGTGAAATGTTCGTTACTCTTAATCCAATGGATTCCAAGTAACCAACCCCCGTGTGAGAGATTAGTTTGTGGATTTGCAATCTCTATTTATATTCTTCTTCTCTATTAGTGAAAACTCATCATCTTCTTGCCCCGTGGACATAGGAAACTTGTCGAATCACATAAAATTTGTTTGTTTGTGTTTATGTCGTTATTTTAGATTGTTTTACTTTCTCTCTTGGCATTAATATTTGTTCTCGGCATCCTATCAGTTTTGGCCGCCGCGCACAACAAGTGGTACCAGAGCAGAACAAGTGGTATCAGAGCTTTGGTTATACTTGGGCTAGGTGGAGGAGTAGCTCATTTTGGAAGCTCGTTTAGGGTTTTAGTTGGTGATAAAGGTTAGATTTTTACTGTTATGGATCTCGTTTCCGTCGTGTGGGGTTGAGATCTTTTGAAGGCTCTTATTAGGGTTTCACTTGGAGGTATAAAAATCTCTTTTTCAGTTTGGATCTATTCTTCGTTTGTTCCGCATTGACTTGTTGGTGCTTTGATAAAGATGACCGAGAAAGAAGGAATTGTGGAGAATACTTTTAGCGTGAAGATCGTCCAAAGTTTAAATATTCACTCTATGAAGATAGATGTGGAGAAATTTAACGGTACTAATAATTTTGGTCTTTGGAGATGTGAAGTCTTGGATGCGCTCAACCCCCAAAATTTGGAAGACACTTTGGAGTTGGATAGGAAACCGGACAACATTGAGGAGAAGATTTGGAAGAAGATGAATCGAACGGCGTGTGGTGTGATTAGGTCTTGTTTAACACAAGATTTGAAATATGATGTGATCAATGAGACTTCGGTAAAGAAGATTTGGGAGATCCTAGAGGGCAAGTATTTGACAAAGAGTGTGAAAAACCGCTTGTATTTGAAGAGGATGCTTTATCGCTTCCAATTAAAGAATGGGACCTCCATTAGTGATCACATGAACCACTACACAAGCTTCTTACGGATTTAACGAATGTAGATGTTATGATTAAAGATGAGGACAAGGCGTTGTTATTATTGAGTTCCTTACCCGACGAGGAATATGAGACCTTCGTTCTTACTCTTATTAATGGGATGGCATCTCTTTCGTATAGTGAGGTCATCGCTGCACTTGTGAATTATCAGCTTCGGAAGAAGGATAATGAGACTTCAATTGATACAGTAGCTGGGGCATTGGTCGCAAGAGAGAAGAGTCCAAACCGAAGTAGGAGGTCACAGTCTAGAGGAGCATACCCTACAGTTGGTAAGAATCAGTATGTTTTTTGTAGAGAAGATGGACATTGAAAAGCCGAATGCCCAAAGTTGACAAATCGAGACGGGAAGAATAGGGGGAAAGTTATTCAAGCTTCAGAGGTGAATGTTACCAAGGCTAGTGGTGACAATTCAGATTCGAATTCTTCGAGCTACTCGTGCCCTACACTACCGTCAGTTTGTGTTGCCGCTACAGAGTGGATGTTGGATTCTGGTGCTTCTTACCATATTTATCCTAGGAGGGATTGGTTCTCTAACTTTGAGGAGTTAGAAACAGGAGATGTCGTGCTCATGGGTAATGATCATGAATGCCCTATTGGTGGTATCGGTACCATTCATATTAGGATGTGTGACGGAGTGATTCGGGAGTTAGATGAAGTGAGGTTCGTTCCGCAGTTGAAGAAGAACATCATTTCACTTGGAGTTTTGGAGGCAGCAG